ACAAAAAAAAAAAATCTAACTACAAGATGCTTATTAAAGCACAAGGTACAATTTTTGTCCCCTCCATCTGACTTCTATCAGGTGCAAGAGCATGGATGGGTAATTTGCCTGATAGAAGAGTTTTTATGGGAGAGCCCGGCCGGTAGAAATGATAGAGCAGCTTTAAAAGCTTTAAAAACACAGACTGGACTTTTGAGTCAACAGCTGATCCCTCATATAAAGTTCCCGAGTCGGTACTTCACCTGGATTTCATAAAGTGCATCTCAAATGAAGACAAAGCGCCGAATTCCACCTGGTGACAAATAAAAGAGTGAGCAACATCCTGACTCCTTTAATATGACCGCAGCGCATACGCTATCATAAGAGAGGACGGTTTAATGCACTTTTACAACCAGTCAGCCTGAAAGCTTTGCCAAGTGGAACCAAGTGGTGCAGTTTGGCACCAGCAGATTTGGTTTGAGATTTTATTTTTTTCCAATATCTTTAATTTGTCCCCCCCTCCGACCCCATTTACCATGTTTTTCACGAAAAACATATTTTTAGTGTTTATCAGCAAATTTTATTTCAACAAAAAAACAATTCTGATTTTTTTATTTCATCAAGAGGCTGCCAGTTGCCCATCCCTGTCCTGTCCAATGAAAAAATCCTTCATCGAGCTCATTAGCTCATCTTGGATCAATGCCATTTACCATCAAAAGTGGCTCCGGCTAAACAAAATGTTGACTTGAGGCCAAAGAGAGCAAGAATGCTCACCCTTTCCCCCCTCCCCTGACAAATCTGATTTCAAACAGCCTGCGGCGTCCGCTAACCTCTGATTTTCTGATTCTCTCGGTACATTCCGCAGACTTGGCATCCGGCGAGACGGCGAACGGCCTCAGGAACCATCTGACGTGGGCATAAATACTTTCCACGGGTAATTGACCCCCTTTTTTTTTTTTTTTCCTCTGCACGCCGGCATCAAAAGCGTCGACGACCTCTGATTAAACGTCTCAGGGCCAACGTGCAGAATGCATATGAGACGCGTTCAAATGAAAGAAAAGGCACATCCGGGAAGACATGCGGCTCGCCGAATTCTCCGAGAAGCGTCGTTTGCGCTCCCAAAACGGATCTGTATGTAGCGTCGGGGCAGCGCCAGTGCGGCCGGCGTGGACAAAAGATGACATTGCGTGTTCGTTTTCTGCCACCACGCTCAAGGGGCCTCCATTATGAGGCTGTCACACAGCATTAGGCCAAACGACAGACACTTTGATGTGCGGATCATCACCCGCCCGTTACAGATAATACAGAGTTGCCTTAGCTAATCCATTCCCCTATTGATTTTTTTTCTTTTTGTGGTTGTTGTTGCTCCTTATAATAACTTCTTACAAGCAAGCACATTTTCAGCACGAGAATCCCCCCCCCCCCCAAAAAAAAATAAGACGATGGAACAAAGAATGGGGTTTGACACAGATAAGCCGCTTAGCGAGTATGAAAGATCAAGTTTATTTCACACTAACTGCAGAAGCGTGGAAGGGTGGAGATGCGAGAACTCTACGTGCAAATACAAATACATAATAAATCAGATTTTTTGGGGGGAGGAGAGTTGGGAAGAATCATAAAGACCTTTATATTGGGTGAAAAGTCACGCACGAGAATTACAACAGTATTAATGAAACTAGTGGAATTAAAGCAGTATTTTTTTTTCCAGACAAATTCAGATTTTTATTTTCAAGAAAAAGCCAGGATATTATGACAAGGGCATTTTTATAGAGGGCTGTCATATTGAGAATAGCGGCAGATTGTATTTATTTTTATTTGTTATTATTTTTTTTTTTTTTTAATGAAAGTCGAAAAATGAAAAGCTGTGCATCTATGTTCCTGAAGGAGTTGTAATATTTTGAAAACAAATTCAGATTTTTCTTTTCCAAGACAAAAACCTATGGTATGAAAAGACTTTTTCCAGAAGAGTTATCATATCACAATTTCATTAAAGTCAAGACAAATTTGTAATATTGCAAGTTTTATGCCATATGGGAGTCTCATATATATTTTTAGAAAGAGTTGTAATACGACCATTTTTTTTTTTTTTATCGGCCAAAATCTACCAGATGGCGACAAAATCAGTTGAAATGTGTGGTTTTGATTTTTGTGAGGACCTCTGAAACATCAAGTAAACACGCATACAGATACATTTATGATATGTTTTCAATTATAGACATAAAATGCGGTGAAATTTATGACGTGATGAGGACAATAGATTTTCTTGTTGGATACGTTACTTCATAAAACATCAACTTGCAATTCTCACTGGCGTTATGACTACAACATTAATTTATGACATTGGGGACAATTTATGTCCTTCGAAACTGAATTCAAAGATTTCCCTTAGAAAATCGAACATTAACATCCGACCATAACCGGACTGCCCCGGTTGTCCGCGAAGACGTTTTTCATCTCTCCTGAGCGGGCATCAGCACGAGACTAAAATTGACAAATCCCGGCCTTGGATGCGAGCCGAGCCCTCTTTGAAGACAAACGGAACAGTCCAGTTGCGATCGATTCATTGCCCAGAACAACTTGAACCCCTTCATGGACCCTGTAACCCGATAACATGATAAACTGTCCACTGTAGTAACCGCTGTCCCTCAAAGGGTTCACATGTTTGGTGTCTGGGGGTTCTTGGTCCTGGGCTTTGGAACCGGTGAAGGGTCTTTAGCAGCAGCTTGTTCCAGCTGGACAAGGTTTTCGCTGGACTGCCGAGTTCTGGGTAAAGGCTCTGGAAACGCAGACGTGGGAACGTCTGCGGGACTCATGGTTTCGTACTCCGGGCTGTTGAGCTCAGATCTCTGCTGTCTTACGGAAACCATTCCCAAATCCCCTTTTCCCAAAACACGCTTCCGGGTTTTCTTTCGTCCACATCGGCGACACGACGCGGCGACGACGACGAGCAGGGCAAGGAACAGAGCCGCTACACCCGCCAGTGCGGCGATGATCGTTTTCGGTGTGAAACAAAACAGAGTTGATGGTGTCGCCGCGGTCGCGGCCGGAGTCTTACATGCCGGACGAACAGCGTCACTCCTTTCCGCGCTGAATCTGTTCCTTACCCGACACGCGAAACTCTTCTCCCTGTCCAGTGAGACGTTCAAAGTCTGCTTGGTGGCACCCAATAAATTGACGTCGTCGACGGTCCACGAGAAGAACGACTCGTGGGGATTGGCCACGTCACAGCTTAGATTGACAAAGCCGGTTCTCAGGTCGCAGATGTAACCGAGCCGCGGTTGGGACACCTTGTCCATGGCGCAGAGACGGCCGGTCCACATTGTCACCAGGGTCCGATTGGGATGGCGGACAGTGACCTGGTACCAGCCCCCGCTGGAGAGCTTCAGGTTCTTCAGCAGAAGCGAACCGGTCTTGGAGACGTCCTCCGGCTTCCCGACGGACACCCTGGTTTGCTCGCGGTTGAAAATGATGGTGCCGTTATGAGTCCACCTCAGCACGTCCGTGTTGGCCAGACGGTTGTAAACAAACGGAAGCTCCATCGTTTGTCCCACCGCGCCGTACAAGTCGCACGCGTCCTTGTCGGCGGGAGGCATCGCAAAGGACCCGCGCAGAACGACCGCGATGAGCAGGACGGCGTACATGACTCGAGAGTCCCCACATCCAAAGAACGAGATCCAAACTGAAAAAGCAGTGCTCCTCTTCCTCTGCTGAAGCGATGATTGTGTGAAGCCGGCGAGAAAAGAAGTGAATCTTCCAGAGGAAGGAACTTGTGTTGGTCAAGTCTACTTTCGGTTCTGGGAAGTGTTGTCATGTTGCAACACTGACAGACAAGACGTGGGTAGCGTATGTCTTTGTTTGCAAGGTGCGTGCTATATAATGACTGGCAAGATCTTGTCACTTTCTTGCATGGGCAGGTCGAGCGGGTCTTCGTCGCTTGTCGTCGTCACTTTTGCCTTGTCCCACATCGGTGGTTGCCGCAGCAAGTCACTCGCATGAGTCGTTTTGCGCCGGATGCCCTCCCTGATTCAACCCACCCGTTTTCTATCCGGGTTTGGAATTGGACACTGGCAGGGAATCGAACCCGAGTCATCTGCATGAAAGGGAGGAGGGTGTATCATGACACCAAGGGGTGGCCAACTCCGGTCCTTGAGGGTCCGTTCTTGCTGCAGGTTCTAGGTGTCTCCCTCCTTCAGAGGAACCAGATCTTTATCCGGTTCCTGCGGTTCTTGCTGATGAACTGATCATCTGAATCAGGTGTGGTGGCAAAGCGAGACGTCTAAAACATGTCTGACAGCGGCGGCCTCGAGGACCGGAGTTGCCCACCCTTGCACTGCACTCCTGTGTGGGCGGGGCTTAGTGAAGAGACGGATTCCATTTTAACATTGTGAAGCGTTCAAATGACTTCTCAAAAACATTTTTGACGAAATGAATCTCAGCGATGACATCAATTAGTTATCACATTATCACAAGTAGTTTTCTATAAATCCACCCCCTAAGCCGCCCCCCCCCCCAACCCTGTGCAGTGTTTCCCGGAACGCACACCTCATTGTTCTGTTAGCTTACAGAAATACCTTTAGCGCTGCATAATCGATGACGTCTGCACTGACTGCGGCTTTTCATTTGGGGGGGAAGGGGGGGGGCGCGATAATCTTCCTCTAATTTCCGACAATTAGCGCTGATTCACAACGACTCTCTGTCAATCTCTGCAGCGCCAACACCTGTTTCCCCGCACTTTGTTTTCCTTCCCTGAGGGAACAGATGCATGTCAAATGTTCGCTGTGTCCGCAGGGGGGCCGAATGCGATGAATTCCTCTTTGCAAATAAAAAAAAAAAAAAATTAAAAATGACATTGTGCAGATGGCCGAATGCGATGAATTCCTCTTTGCAAATAAAAATAAAAAATGACATTGTGCAGAATTTCCCCTCACCAACTGGCAAATGAGAGCAATGTGTTGCCGGGGAAAAACTGCTGTTTTGTGTTGTATAATTAGCGAGCAATGCGTTTGCTCACCCTCATGATGTACGTGTCACAGACGCGTTCCACGAGTCAGCATTTTTTTTTTTTAGAATCCTGTGTCAGGGTTTTGTTTTTTTTTTTTTTAGAATCCCGTGACAAATTATGGCTTTTGTGAAGCGTTGCATGCAGATTAAAAAAAAAAAAAAAAATGACCCAATTGTAGCCATGGCTATTTGTCTTATAATAGACGTTGAAGGTTAAAAGAATTTTTGATCATGCTCTTCTCAAGATGCAAATCAATTTTTCAGAATGATCGAGATTAGTGACTTTGAAAGTCTGATGGTGCGGGCTCCCTTTCCTCACCGTCTCAGAATAGTTCAGTTATATTTAACTTTTAACCCTTTCGTGCACCCTGTAACCTGATAACACAAGAATCCGTCCACTGTAGTAACCGCTGTCCCCGAAAGGGTTAAGTTCAAATCATTTGATATTTTTGGAACTGCTTGTTTTGAAACATTTATTTCATTTTAAATGTTAGCAAACCATTTTTAACTCCTATGTGCATTACTTTACATTTAATTAAATTATTACGGTGGTCAAACACAAATTTCAACCAGAGATTATTTTGTGTGCCTCAAAATTTATTTTGAACGCTGATTATAAAATTATGTTGTCTTTTTTCTCGCATGCCTTTTAAAAAAAAAAGTTTTTTGAAAAGTTTGACTAATAAAAGCTTACACAATACAGGTTTTATCATGCTTGTAATTTATAACAATGACGTTTCTGAAAATAAATCAATAAATCCACCTGTTGTGGAACCTGACCCTTAATTCATAAATTTACTAAACATATTATGATGATAATTAAAATGATGATGATTATTATAGCCACAAAATTTATTTTGAACGCTGATTATAAAATTATGTGGTCTTTTTTCTCGCATGCCTTTTAAAAAAAAGTTTTTTTTAAAAGTTTGACCAATAAAAGCTTCCGCAATACAGGTTTTATCATGCTTGAAATTTATAACAATGACGTTTCTGAAAATAAATAAATAAATCCACCTGTTGTGGAACCTAACCCTTAATTCATAAATTTACGAAACATATTATTATGATTATTATTATGATGATGATGATGATTATTATGGCCCGGTGGACCAGTGGTTAGGGCATCGACCTCACAGTGCAGTGGTCGTGGGTTCGATTCCGGCTCCGGCTTCCCTATGTGGAGTTTGCAGTTCTGCCCGGGCCTGCGTGGGTTTTCTCCGGGTACTCTAGTTTCCTCTCACATTCCAAAAACATGCATAGCAGGTTAATGGAACAATCTAAATTGTCCCAAGGGTGTGATTGTGAAGCGCGAATGGTTTTTCGTCTGTGTGTGTGCCCTGCGATTGGCTGGCAACCGGTTCAGGGTGTCCCCCACCTAGTGCCCGAAGAGCAGCTGTGATAGGCTCCAGCACCACTCCCCCCACCACCCTCAAGTTTACATGTGATTCTCATTTAACCCTTTGAGGGACAGAGTTACTACAGTGGACATTTTATCATGTTATCAGATTACAGGTTATCATAATTGGTGCATGAAAAGGTAACTTTTTTATTTTTTTTTAGAGTAGAGTACTGGTACAGTATTTTTCATTTTCTAAGCACAGTGTTAATGTTAAAACTGCGCCTAATTTTACAGAACGTACGTCTTGGCACGACAACAAACAACAAAGGGTGAATATCCAGAGCACTCAATGAATCACACCGAGAAGAGGAAGAGGAAGGGGAAGGGGGCTCAACGTTTTCATCTTAAAGAGGCCATCCCAACGCTCCGAGTCACGTCTGGTCAAAGTGCCTCTCGAGCGTCCTGCTGGCAGAGCGTCACGCGTCCATCTGCGGCCCCCAAATTACACATCAGCCAGGCAGACGGACTCCCCGGGACTTAAAGCAGGGTAGGAAGCCAATTAACCCGCAGACAGACTCTTTGGACCTGAGCCCAATTAAAAGGGCACGTCGTTGGTTTGATATTTGGCACAGAGGCAGCAGTCATACCCGAGCCACTAATCCTGGGGACTCTTAAATGTGTTTATTTAGCAGTCGCAGTAAGCACATTACAAATTCCCTGGTCCCGTTCGGCAATTATGAGTTGATCAGCTTAAGTGTGATCTTTTCCCTAAGCTTCCAATTAAACATTATTTTTTGGGAGGGAGGGTGGGGGAGTTGTTTGAATGCATTAGTCTCATCATTAGACTATTTAAGTATATAATATGCTTTACTTTGTAAAGCAGTATTTTGATGCTCTCCCCCTCCACCCCCCCCATTTTTTTCTAGTGACATAGTACACTGTGGAAATGACAAATTGGCTTTATTCAAATTTACAAGATTTGAGTTAAAAAAAAAATTCATGAAGTCAAAGTAAACAAATTTGGGCATTTGTGTTTTTATTTATTAATTATTATTAATGTTGTTTGCTACATGGCCACTTGGAATTTGAAAAAAAAAATGTAATTTTCCTCACTGGACTTCATTTTCGTCAGCATCCAAGGAAAAACTCTGTTTGCCTGTTTGTCTTTTTTTTCTGCAGTTTGGGAACATTAACTTTATTTCTTTTCTCATTACTACTCTTCTTCTTTTTATTTTCCTGTAGTCTGCATACCGTGGCACCATGCTGCCTCTCACAGGTCAGTCGTGGTACTACAACAGACATCTGCTCTGTGAGAGAAGACTCGCGGCTCTCAGTGAAGATGATGATGGTGCGTGCGTTGATCAACTCGATCTCATCACACACATCACACAAGGGCGGTAAGAACACACTTTTCCAACTCGTCTTGTATATGGGGTCTCTTCCTTCAACCAAAAAAACAAAACAAACAAAAAAGGGGAGACGTTTTTTTATTTTATTTTTTTGGTCTCCTGTGAACTAACGGCACAGTGTGAATTATTATGTCTGTTACGTTTTTGACATTAAATTAGTACTTGATTCAATTTTATACATGCATGACAATAACAGGAAGTGAATGAGAACATGAGAAAAACGACTGGCAAGTATATGAAAACGATATATGACGGGTAAGATGTTGATCTCCCGCACGAGTACGGAAACATACATCCATTCGAAACACAGCCCAGTCGCTCCCACTCCTTCCCCAAAATGGCCGAAGAGAGACAAAACAGACCTTTGTGTTTTTTTTTGACAGAGTTCAAGAGATCACCGTTGATATTTCCTCTTGCATTACACGCTTCTCTAAACTGTCTGGATTGAGAAGGAGGAGGAAAAAAAAGTGAGAGGGGGTGGCGTGATACTTCAAACGAATTACTGGGCCGAGGGCTTTATCATGGCCGCCGTCACCAAGTAAGGGAGGAGGCGGTTTGTGTCATCTCGGGCCACGCTCGGGAACGGCTGCTTTTGGTCACCGAGGCAAACTATCGAAGAGGCAGGACCGAGCACCTTTGATGTGCATTGAGGAGGCGCTGCACGGCGGGTGATCGCTCATTTCCATCTGCGCTGAGAACAAACCTCCCCGTCGGTCGCTTGGAGTTCAGGTTTGAACAAAAAAAAAAAAAAAAACAAAACAAAACACATTGAGCCTTCTTGTTTATTCCCGTATTTTATGAATGCTGGGAATCGGCTCATCGGCCAGTTACACGCTGCTGATTTTCACTGCACAACATACAGCAGAAATTGCCACATCAATTTCAGCCTCCGCCAAGAACATCCTCATCATTAAAAAATGAACTTCAGATGTTTTTGTCATTTATGAATAGCCCGTCCGACATGAATACAGCGATGATTAATCCCTTTACAGTTTCGGAGGCGGTGCCTGTTTCAAGACACCATCTGACCCCCGTATGACTTCTGTGCTTTGAGTTTCACGCGTGATCACTCTGTTTCACTGTAAAATATTTGTTGGCGGCAGCACAAATGGTTGGATTCCAGCAGTTTGGCGGAGAGAATTAGTGAGCAAATCTTGGAAAAAAAACGAGGATTCGAGCTGTTGATTGCCGCTCCCAAAGGTCGCTGTCAAACTACACATCAAACTAAGAGAATTACATGTTGTGTGTTTAAAAGAACCGCAGGCAGACCTTGAGGACCACATGACTAGCCCGTGGGCCTGTTCACAAAAAAGAAAAAAAAAAAAAAACTCACGAGTGAGCGGACATTTTCTTGGAATGTTTTTGAAGTGAGTGTAGATATCTTTAATTATTAGTCATAGCATACAACAAGAGCATTATTAAAGGTAATTTGAGCCCGTGTGTAATTGGCGTGTATCAAACTGGTAGCCCTTTGCGTTCATCAGTACCCAAGCAGTCGCTTTCAGTTTCAAAAAGGTTTGATGAACCCAGGTTCAGCCTTGAAGTCTGCTAGCTTAATGCTAATGCTAACATAGGAAACGTCATAGAATGCTAATGAGTAGCATCCATTTGGCTGTTTTCTGGCCTCAACGGTAATTTGAATAAAAGCAGCGCATCAACATGTAAAGACATATTATTATGTTACAATACCCACAGACATATATTCTTTATCCTCAGCAGAAAAAAAAACTTCTGAGGAGTTGTCGTGTCTTCTCTGTTCTTTGTGAATGAGTGAATCAAGTGTTAATGGCAACAAACAACTCAGTGTTGATCAGATTTCAGTTCAAATCGTCTTCTTACACGGCTCCTTTTTTTTTTTTTTTTCCTCAAACGCTGCTGATACTCTTTTGAACTTTAAATGTCTGTTTCCTGTCTGGGTTGCCTTGACTCACAAGAAGACTGAAGGCCATTGGCGCTTTCAATCGCCATCGGCAGCATTTTTGTTTGTTTGATGTTGACCAAAAACAAACAAACACCAAAAAAAAAAAAAAAAAGACCAAGATACGTTTGAGGCTCGTTGCTGATAAGCTTGTGAAGATTTGGTGTGTGAAGAGGAGACAACCTCGTGGGTGCGGCGTCATCTGATCATATCTACATAAACAGCGATAAATTCCCTCCAGAAAACCGATGAGCCAAAAAAAAAAACGATGAGCCAAAAAGGAAAGCAGCCGTTCTCTTTTCCTGTTTGCCGTCTTTGCGTTCTGCTCTCGTCGTTTTGGACCGACCTCATTTAGACTGCGTGGGGTGTACCCAATGAAGTGTCCGCTCTCTCGTCTCAGATGTGGAACATTCTCATTAAACTTGGCTTAAAAAGAAAAAAAACAGCTGTTCCTCATAAATGTTTTATCACTGAGCCCTTCGCACGGCCTCATGAAGGGAAGGTCTTATCTCTGCTGGAACACAAACCCATTCAGCACTGACCTTAAATCCTCTTGATTTGTCCGTGACATTCATATTAAACATTTTTGTAGCGCTCTGCTAATCACAGCGGAGTCACCAACATATATTTTCACAATATTTTCAGCTATTTTGGGGGGGGGGGGGGGGGGGGCAAAGGTTGACAAAGGGCCGAGAGGAGCACAGGAAACTGTGAAAACCGTGCTGCGTTAAAAGCACAAGTTGGAACAAGATGGTAATGAAAAACAAAACCGGGGATATCACGTATTTACTTCTAAGATGACAAATTCTATCTGAGAGGACACTAAGGGCAGCGAGACAAGACTGTTGAGTATAATCCTCCAAGTAACGGGTTGTGTTTGGGTATATTTTGGTCTTTTTTTGTTTTAATTTGAGAGGGAACTGAGGACAGCAAGAAAACGGAGCATTGCAGCTAAGTGGAGACTGTGGAGTGTAAATATTGGCACAGCATAGGTGTGAAGTGAAAATAAATTGCGCACATGCCAACATTAGCTTACAGTGTCGCAGTGATTTAGCTCTGGATCCTGCAGTATTAGACTCCACAGTCCCCATTGTCTTGCTGCCCTTAGTGTCTTTGCAGATTTGTTGTCATAGAAGTGAATACATGATGCCCTTAATCCCATCCACTCATATTTGTGACTTTTTTAGACAGAGTGTTTAATGCAGCACATTTTCTTTGCAGTTTCTAGTGGGACTATTTGGTAAGTGCCACAGTCTCCACTTTGCTGTGGTGCCCGGTTTTTGTTCTGTCCTCCTCCCCTCAGTTTCATCTTGAATAACATAAAAAAATGACCTTAAAAAAGATGCACATGCTGATGTCTTGCTATGCCTTAGCTCTGGACATTGCAGGCTTTGGGTCCACAGTCTCCACTTGGCGGTAGTGCACGTTTTCCGTTCTGCACCCAGTCTTGTCTCGAATAAAATCCGAAATGCACCCACCCCGCCCCCCCAAGAAATCCAATGCTAACAGAAGCATTTCCTGTTGCTGTGCATTTGATCTGGATATGCCAGGATTTTGTACCATCTCCATTTTGTTGCAAAGCGCCATTTTTAGTTGCCCTCAATCTTCTGTCGAATAACCAAAATAAACACACTTGCGAATGTGAGCGACACCGTTGCCGTGCCGTCGCGCTTGACATTTCCGAATTCTTATCCACAATCTCCACTTTGCTGCAGCACCCCGTTTTTGTTTGCTGCTGCCCTCAGTCTCGTCTAGAATAAATTCCAAAATGACAACAACAACAAAAAAGAAGAAACTTGCTCAAGTAAGCAAGCCCTTTTGTGCTGGCCCTTTAAGGATTCTATTCCACAAACTCCACTTTGCTTACAGAGGTTCATTTTATGCCTTTCATTGCCCGCTTTCACTCTCATCGCCGATAAAACCAGAAATGAACGCACGCACAACCATTAACTTTCAAAACAATACCTCTCACGCTTGAGCCAACATCAAGTGTGACGGCCAATGTTGGGCAGGCTTCAGACGCCAAATGGGAAGATGGCCGCCGACAAATAACAAGAGATTGTGGGCGCAATTGTAAATCTTATGAACGGAGACTTGGAGGGAGAAGGGGGGGAGAGCTCAGTCTGCCCCCGACAGGAATGCGGCGTTGTCAACAATAAGAGTGAGATGTTGTTGTAAAGCAGTAAAGCTTGCACATGCCACAGAGGCCTCTCAACCGCCGCTGATCTCACGATACGCCTTCACTTTCACTCTCTGCAAGAGTTGGAGAACGACGTACGTTTGCCAACTCGCCGCTGTGATTCATTGAGAATCGAGGTGCATCAATTCATTGACAACTCATCGACGATCAATGTTCTGACCATGTTTTTTTTTTCAATGCAAGTTATGACATTGGTATAAGGTATGACATTTTTTTTTAAAAACGAAAGATGACAATCGTTATCGCAGAGAGACTTTGGTACACAAATCCTGTTTCATGTGAAAATCAGGCAAAATATTCCGAAAATGAGGCAGTACTAGCAGTGACAAAGCACAAACACTCCTTTTAATAACGGCCAAAGTCCGTTTTGTAAACTGTTAAAGCACATTCCTTATCAAACAGTTAATTGTCAAAATAACGATTTCGCAAAAACTCAAAAACCAAATTACCCAGAACCCTTTCAAATATCATTTACACTCATTTTTGTTTTTTTGTGGGGGCGGGGGTCGTGTTATTTTCATGAATCAAAATAAAACCATTTCCTGTTACTTTCAAAAACGCTGATCAACATTTTTGCCCATTTTCCGACAATTTACGGGCCAAAACGGCAACTGAAGCATCACTGCTACTTTGAACTAAAGTCCTGTTTTCAAATAAAGAGATGGAAATTTGGACTTTTTTTTTTTCCACATTCATTGATTAATCTACAAAATAATCAACGGATGGTTAAAATAATTGTTAGCGAGAGCC